ACACATGTATGAACCTGCTGTGGCATTAAGAAAATACCAGTTATGCTACCCAGAAACCACCCATTAATCAAGCTGCTGTTAAGAATTTGCTGATGGCACTTGGTAAATATCACAACATCAATCATTATTACTTTATTACACCGACGGTACTTCCACAGCTGAAATTTTTTGACAATAATTCAAAGATGCACATTCTGTTTAACACAAATTGCAGTTTTTCTTCCTCTTTCAGTGTGTTTGGAACCTACAGTTTCACAGGGTTTTTTTATTTAAACCCTCAGATGTACATAAATCACATCAGATCCCATTATATAAAAAAGGAGGACATGTTTTCTTACACAGTTCAGAAACCATTCAAAAGCCATTCCGAAATTAACTGGGAGCATAATGCTGACTTATCCTTAAGTGTATTTAAAGCTGTCATACAAAATTAAGTTAATCAAAAAAAATAAAACACAAAAGGCAGAACATGTAGAAATGAGAATTTATTTTATTACATAAAGTAGCATTTATAAACAGTGCTCATCCAAGACAGGCTCCACCCCAATACCAACTCGATTTGCCTCACACAAATCGAACTTTCTAATGCAAGAGATGTTTGGGTACATTCGATGTTTACCACACTCTGTAAAGCATTTGGCATTTCATAGCATATTATGCTGAGGAGTACTCAACTCATACAACATTACGTAATGCATGTATAACGCTTACAATGATGACCTTAACGGAAAAAAAAGTGTCCCTGACAGCATTTCACAAGAGCTGACGTGACTCAGTTACAAAATAAAAAGAAAACTTAACCTTTGTTAAAATGTCTGCATTGTCGATGATTTATTTTTCCACTTTTCCCGGAGCCTCTGGATTGGCACCCCTGTTGAGCTAACAAAGCCTTTCTGATATGTACGACGTTCCCATTTGAAAAACAAAATCTCTTCCTCAGCAAGGGATCACACCGGGAGGGTCACTAGAGGATTCTCCAAACCAGTCAAAGTAAACACCCTTCCCTCAGCCTTCACTGCCATGTCACAGCTGAGTGTAGGATGTTTACATTAACTAAACTTAGACCGTCTGCAAACTAAAAGGGGTTGGCTTCCAATTAGTGTCTGCGCTATGGAGAAAAACAAGCTTCACAGGCAATAGAAGGCGCTTATCTTTTGTCTTGAAATTACAGGCTTGGTCATATCAAGTCTCCAGAAACAAAATCCCTTGACTTCAACGTTTTTTTCCTGACTTCTCGCTGAAACTTGGCCGCAGAAATTTAGCAAGAAAATAGACATTCTATACATGACAGAGACAGAAGAGTCAACATCACCTTGTGCAAGTATAAGCAAAGCTGAAAATACACACAGACACACACACACACACCCCAGCAAAGGTAAAAGGACAGCAGTGCAGGCGAACAAGTGCGACCACCACAGTGCAGATGACAGAGCTCTTCGCCGTTTCCAAGGAGCTGAAGGTAGCCGGCCGCCGCAAACATCTGACTGAAAGCTTAGGTGGCACTGTACAGCTTCCAGTCGGGGATGTTTACAGCAGCAGGCCACCAGACATCACATGGCAGGCAAAATCACAGCCTCCCAATGATAGAGGTGGTGTAGTTCTGCACGGTGATAGCAAAGAATCGCTGTCAAGCACTATTACTCCACATAAGATGATTCACACCTCATTTTTCCCCATTCCGGTACGCAAAGTGCGATCCAGACAAAATAAGCATTTCTCTTTTCCCATTTAAACTTCCGTGCGCCCAATATATCTACAGAAATAACATTTTCACACAACAGCTGGTGGCTAAGGATGGGAGGGGGAGTCTTTCACATTTGAGAGCATGCAGATTTGACTTATGTTAGCATGTAAGAAAGGCAACCATCATCGAAACAAAAAGTGCACGTTTCATAGACTCCAAGATAAGCACTGTGAGCTGACACTTCATCTTCATGTCAACACGTTGGGGTTGGGGAATCGGAGCGAGGGAGAAGTCATTACAATCATGCAGACCCTGGCCTATTTTATCACCAGCTGCCCTAAGTATAGCATGGATTTAACTTTGATCTATCCCCCAGAGTGAGTGGCACGGCTCTGCGGCACGTCGCTGGCTTCACATACCGCAGTGTGGCCATGGCAGGGATCAATAACAAACCCCCCCCCCCACGGGTGGCTATTTTATTTTTTTTTTGTCTAGAGTGGATGCTCATTCCTAAGCTCAGCTGGGAGGCACATTTCCTCTGGCTGAACTTTGTTAACCAACAGATTTACTCTGATGGAATTCATAATTGCAGCTTCACTGGGGAGAAAACAAACCTTTGGTCCCATATAGAAGTGGGCGGAATACATATCTACTGGGACAAAACTCATGGGGGGGGGGGAGCTTCCTTATTATGAAAACTTGGCTGAATTATGTGTGTGAATATACATATACACACACACACACACACACACACACACACACACACACACACACACACACA